GTCCAAAAATCGTTCTCTAGGAAATTACCAATACCTTCAGTTTGACCTCAATACCTTCCAATTGAGACATTTTAACTGTAACTGATAAGTCTATTGGCCAATTTCTTAGACGTTCTACCATAGGTTATAGAACCATAGTTGCACTATGGAATTGCTTTGCCAGAGCAGTGTAATAGATAAATACGACCTATAATTGTACCTATGGTAACATGAATAAGAAATTGGCCATCAATCTGTTGGTCGAAACTCGAATTCGAAAATAAATTCAATAATAAACTGTAAAGTTTTTGCTTTAATTTCTACTGAAAACGATTTTAATTATAACTCTACGCAGTTTTACATATTATCACATTTAGATCAGATATTTGTCAAAATTTAATTGCTATAAAATGAAAATTATAAACAAGTTACGCAATTGTAAAGCTATCTTAAAATAAGCATGCATTTTACGTAGACTTAAATTAAATATTATTATTTTATTACTCTGAAATATTGCGTAGAGTCTTAAAAATTAATTTAAAACAAATAAAGCCTTTTAATCGTACGCGGTATTCGACCATTTTTCATCATGTTTTGGTTTTTCACTTTTCAGTTAAATCCATTTTTATAAACTTACTGCTTACTACACAGGATACCGAAGAGTCTCATATGGCGACAAGTCGTGAATAATTATTTTATTACGGCGTCAAGTCATTTGATAATTAAGTCATATTGGTGTAATTTCAAACTGTAAATGAAGTTGATTGTTAATTATGGTCCGGTAATTTCCTAGAGAATTGAACGACCACCATATGTATCTAGTTAATTTTCACTTCTCAAATTATTACAAGATTCATAAAGATAAGACTTGAAATAAACCTTCTAATAATCTAATCTGCGATTTTGGCCTAAGTCATTTAAGAATTCGTACTAACTTCTATGTTCCTTTTTGTACCAATTTTTGGTCAATATTCATTCTTAATATGTCAAAAAGTTTCCAGTTTATATTTGTCAGATCAAGGCTGTTTTTTTTTAATACAAATAGTTTTTGAACAAATGGAAATGTTTCAATTTAAAAAATTTGTGCAAATTCAAACAAATTTACGTTTACAATTTAAATCCTATCTATAAATATGTATACTTTGCGTATCTGTTTTTTTATCTGTCTGTACCAATCGGGCTCAAATTTGGTGTGGGACTTCACATGACCCCAGGGAAGGTTTATGAACATTGGATGAGCGGAATTTAAAAATTTGAAATAATCTTGTTTGGCACTAAGCTGTATATAACTCCACACAGTTAATGCCTGATCTTCAAGAAAGGTTCTTTGAATTCTCTACCATTAGAATTTGGGAAATTGTGAAATGAGACTCAGTTCTCAGTATAAAAGAAATATTTGAAACTTTTCCAAAATATCTGATTTCTTTTCACCATAGGTAATGGGTAAAATGGGTCTTTTTCCTTGAATTTTCTTCCCCGGGCTTAATGTCCCCCCCCCCTGAGGGGAGGGGGTTTAAAAGTAAGAATGTAATCCCCTGATGCTCACAGATAGACCAACAATAAGAAGTTGAATTAGAAGATGTGCGCGAAGCGCCCTGAAAGCCTAGTATTAACTATTTATATTTTAGTAAGATGGACAAGGAGAGACACACAATAGACAAGCTGTATCTGGACACAGCTACTCTAGCTTGGAACGGGAACCCTGTAGATGGGATTAACAGTATTAAGGTTATACAGGGGTATATATATTCTTCAAACAAAAATTGTCCTATCTTTGAAATGTCTCATTTATGAAATGTTCATTGATTATCTATGGAATATTTAGACTAATGGAACTGTGATATGTCTGATACTTTTTTTTTGCTTTCCAGTCACAATTTTTTTGAAAATATTGATTTTATTTTGTTAAGATTATTTTTTACGCGGCGACCCCCTTAAAATATAAACCAAGTTTTGGGTTAAAAAGATGAATTATATTCTACAATATACATGCTCGAAATAATAGAAAAAAATTAACTTGTTTCATATCTAGAGTTTTCTGTTGGACCGTCTCCCAAAAACCTCACACTACGTTAACAGCCTGGACAGTCAACCTGTAGCTGACTACGCTGTTGGCGGTCAAACTACTATTCTTGTTCAGGTAGAACACCACCCATCCAGGATTTAAGAATGAATTTATTATAAACTACCTAAAGTGTCCGGCGTTGTCCGTGATATTAAAAAAAACATCGAATATTGAAAAAAAAAATTATAATTCACCTAATTTAAATCATGGGTATTTCTTGAAGATATCCATCCATTTTTTATTTTTAAAAAGAACAAGATGTATTGATTAATTGATTGGAAAATGACAAGACGAGTTAATTGGCAAGAATGAATTATTATTTAATTTAAAATGAATTGATTTGAGTTTTTCACGTCTTAAAGTCATTAAACGATGGTTGGACGTTCATTGGGAGAATCATTCATGTTTGCATGGATTGGTTGGAGGATTCATGATTGATAAATTATGTAATTGATTTGATTGATTGATTAGATGAATGATTAATGACTGATCAAGTATTTAATTGATTTGATTAAGATTGATTGATTGGCTGATTGATTTATTGATCGATTGGCTGATNTGTTAAACAATAATTTTACAAGGCCAGCTTTTGTTCAGTGTACACAAATCCTGTCCCTCTCACCTGTTCTACTCACATTAGTTGGTAACTCGTTATTTTTTTGAAAATAAAACAAAAACTTCCATGGGAAAAAATTAGCAATTTATTCTTAAAGACCGAAACTAAAGATCCAGAGATTGGATTTTTTGCATTAAATAAAACAAAATATATTTCTAGTTGTCAGTCGAATACCCGGCATCAGTATAAGTATGGTGAAGATCTGAAGTCAAGAAGTTTTGTTCTTGAAATACACTGGGGGGAAACATATCCTGCTGAACTTCCAGGTAGTCATGCGTTCAGTTGGATTGTTAATACACTGGGGGGAAACATATCCTGCTGGACTTCCAGGTAGTCATGTGTATAGTTGGATTGTGCTTCGCTTGTTTTTTTAACTATATTTTCGTAAAGGCTCAAAATGTGGCATAATCATGTAATGAAGACAAATGTTTTCTAAATTTTGAAGTATGTCAAATTTTGACCCTGACAGAATACATATGCAAAATGCAAATAACGGCCCAAAAAAGATGAAAAAAAACTAACATGTGGTAACGATCATTTTTAGATTATTTTATCAATTTTATTTTTTTAGGATTAAGAATAAAGATATTGCAAAGTTTAATTTAAGCAAACTCTAACATAATGCAGTTTTTAAATCTTGAAATTTTTATTGAATTATTTTTAAAAAGTATCCAAAACGGATAACAACATCACTCCCAGATAACCTTTTTTGCCGTTGATTTAATTTTTTTTGGGGGGATAATGTAATGTATTTTTAGGGAGAAAGCATTATTTATGACAAAAATCATTTGTTTCCAGAATATAAGGGAGGAAAATCTATTTTCTGCCGAGAATCGTGAAAAATAGATGATTGTTGTTTTAAACATATAAAATTTTTCACCTTTAAAATAAGTCGTCTTTATCATATTTTCTTGGATAAAAATGTTTCTCCAATGGGAATGTTGTAAATTTAAAAATGAATGGATACTGAAAACTAACAATCCCTTAAATTTCTTGAATATTTTAGGTGTAAACCTTGATACTTTCTACAATAAACATATTTTACCACAGACAAGGGATCATATTATTCAGAGCGTAAAAGGTAAAATTATAAAATTTTGATTTTAACTTTTAACTTTTTTTCTTCTTAAATTATTTAACATTTAACAATAAGCTAAAAAAAAATTCGCGGATTTATCTTATACTTTTCGAGAATTTTGAAAAATCAATTTTTGTATAGACAATTTTTAAAATTCGGAAAATCCAAAAACCTTCCCTGGGATCATTGAAGTCTCCATCGGTTCAGCCGTTTACACGTTCATTGGATACTTAAAAAACAAATAAGCAAAGTATAAATAATACAGTGAAACCCTTAATAACGAATTCATCGAAATGTCAAATGTCGTATTCTTCACTTTCTGATAATGGAATGTTGCAGATATTTAGTTTTTTGATTAAATGATTATATGGAACAATGGAACACTTTAAAACTGTTCCCGTATATTCAAGTCTATTTATTTATTTTCGCAAATACTGAAATTTACGAAATATAGTTTATAACTCATTGAAAAATTGTAAAGACGACATTTGATAAATTCTTCCGATGTATTCGTTATTAAAGGTTTCACTGTAGATTGTCAAGGCTTTATATTTTCGGCGAATTAGGGAAAATCAATTAGCTTATCGGTGACAAATATAAAAAAGGGGGGAAACTTTGCCAAAATTAAAAAATCATCAATTATCTGGAGGGAGAAAGAAATCAAAATATATAACCATAAATAAAGAAAACTTTTAAAATTTGAGAGATTAATAATAATATCTCTAAAAAGTAAACAAGCAAGTCTGAAATGTCCGCAAACTTTAGGCTAGAAAACAAGGGCGGATTCGAATACTTTTCTTATTGCAATGTTTATTTTGTTTTGTTTTTTTAGAAACAAAATGTAGTTGACGTTATTATTTATTGTCTAGATGAAGCAGAACAATATCTTGGGATGTCAATGACGTATTCCTTGTTTGAATGGGTCAAGGAAAACTTTGACTCACTTGTAGGTCAGTTGTTATTATTAAAGTTTATTACAATAAAGGCACAATGGATACCAACAAAGAAAAAGATAATACGAGTTGTACACTGTACAGTACACTACACTATATACGCATTTTAATGAATGAAAAATAAATTAAAATATAAATGTTATCATTTGTAACTGTTAGTCGGTACATAAAAAAACAAAATTAATTCATTTAATTCTTGATAATCAAAATTGTCAATAGAAATTAGATTAGATCTTCCATCTAACAACTCTCAAATAAGTGGCATTTTCCAATTGCTATTCAAAGGTATCATTGAGTAAGTTAATTTTTGTTGAACATAATTCTTGGACATATTATCCATTGAGATATTGCAATCTGTTGAGAAATAGCGCTTAGGATTATATTTATTTCGATCCGTGGATCTTGGACCCAGCTTACTGATAACTCTTCAAGTTTAAATAATTTCTATAATAAGAATACTTATTCTTCATATTTTTGAGTTCCAGTTTTTACCATGTCAGAATAAGTAAACGAAATTAATTTTAAAATAAAAAAAAACATCATATTACACAATGAACTTAATTTTTTTCTACAGTATAAACAATAAAGGTTAAGACGAAACGATCTGAAAGTTTNATCAATGCTCCTCATTCATTACAACTTAATTTATAATTAGCTTTTTCTTCAATTTACGGATGATTCAAATCAATATTTTGTGGTAAAAACATATTTTTTCTTGCCGTCGCCTGCCTTTTGTGTTATCTCTAGTTGTTTACATGGAAAGGATAAGTTTGGGTTCCCTTCACGAAACCTAGTTTTTTCTTCTTCTAAACTTTATTCGAATAAATCATTAAAAATTTATTATTTGAAACATGAGGCCTTATTAATATCAAATGCAAAGTATTTACGCGATACAAACTTTTGGCGCATTTGTAACTTTAAGCGCCTACTGTATTTACGGTACATCAATTTCTTATTAAAATATTTGTTTTTAAAAAAATATTCTGCGTTTTAGAGACCCAGCCAGAAAACATTGTCGTTGTTTGCGATAAAATTGAGAAAATTCAAATAGATACTGAAGGTAAATGTTTCAATATTTTTTTCTATTTTGTTTATGACAATATAATATATAAATAAATAATATACAAATATGTCGAAAAGACATTTCATAGTTAGGACATTTCATAGAAAGACATTTCAAAGAAAGACATTTCATAGATAGGACAATTCATAGTTAGGACATTTCATAGATAGGACATTTCATAGATAGGACATTTCATAGATAGGACATTTCATAGATAGGACATTTCATAGAAAAGACATTTCATAGAAAAGACATTTCATAGACAAGAAGATTTTCTATAGTCAGGAGATTTTTTATTTACGAAATTTTTTTTTTCGATTTTTCATAGACAAGAAAAAAAATGTAAGAACAGTGCCCCCATATACATTGCAGCAACGAAACAATTAAAAAAGCAACACATATGAAAGTTAATTTATGTATTTTTTAAAGAACTAAAAATTCAACTTTTTCATCTGTAAATAAAAGTTTTTTACTCGTAATGCTTTTGTTGAATGAAAATGCTCGAGTGAATTGTTAGCAGGAAGACATGGCCTACATTTTATGATTAGACGTTTCATGGCAGAGAAGATTTTTCATAGACAAGGAAAAATATATAGGTGAAAAGAAAAGAAATAAAAAAATAATTTGTAAAAATAAACCTCCTCTGTCTATGGAAAATCTTCTCCGTCTATGAAATGTCTAATCTATGAAATGTCCTATCTTTGAAATGTCCTATCTTTGAAATGTCCTATCTTTGAAATGTCCTATCTTTGAAATGTCCTATCTTTGAAAAGTCTTATCTATGAAATGTTCCATCTATGAAATGTCCTAAATATTAAATGCCCTATCTATGAAATGTCTTTATCAATGAAATGTCCTATCTACGAAATGTCTTACTATGAAATGTCTTAACGCCACAAATATATATATATGAGCGGAGAGCTTTATTACATATAGATAGACCATAATCGTAAAAATATTTAATTTTATTTTATTGCTAAAAAAAGATCAGATATTTTACTCTGTTGTATTAGTGGAAACACGCATAGTTTTTGTTTCGTTTTCAAACCACACATTTTTAGCTTTTTTATTATGTTTATTTCTTTATTATTTTTCTTTGTATAAGTTCGGTCTGGGGTGGCTTTTAGATCACATAGGTCATTGATTGATTGATAAAATGGTGTCAAATATTTTAACCACAATCATCTAAAAATCATTCAACCAATCGTTTTTGTTTTTACTGAAATTCATTCTTTCAGAGAAGATATTTTGCAAATGTAATAAAAGCTAACTTTTTAGAAAAAATTGTTAAGCATCTTTATTTCTCACGGAGCACCTTAAATAGACTGTAGACGTATTTCCAAGTGACCCATATTTCCAAGTGACCCATTTCCAAGTAACCCATATTTCCAA